GGGCATTAGTCTTCTGCCAAATCAGATTTCCAGAACAGTGCTCAGATTCCACTAGAGACCATAGAAAGCCTCTGAGAATCACAAAGTTTTGGCCTGAACCCACCTTTCTGATCCCCATCTTGTATTTAATGTTTTTTTCAATAACAACAAGCAAAACAAACAAAAAACACAAACTTTCCCACCAGGATATTAGAAGCTGTAAACCAGAAGAAAAAAATTTGAGAAAGGCACAGCAGCAAAATAAGTTAAACTCACAGCTAGAAACTGAAGGAAGAAAAAATATATAAATCTGTACACAGAGAGAATATCATGGGATGCTAGTTGAGATGAATATGAGGCACAAGAAAATATTGAATTATATTCAGTGATCTCTGAGCTAGTAGTGAAATATAATATGCTTAATCTAACTTCCATACAAAATATTTTATACTAAAAATAATTACTTTGGTGATTGAACAAGTAAGCCCTGGAGTTCAATAGCATTGATCATTGCTTCTCAAAATTTAATATGCATACAAACCACCTTAGGGTCTTATAAAAATGTGAATTCTTGTTTAGTAGGTCTGGGAATGTGGGTGTGATTCCATATTTCTAACAAGCTCCTAGTTAATGCTGACAGATTTTCTGGTGAGGATATAGAATGCATTAATCTCCAATAAAATTAGATAAATGAGATGTTACTGTATTTGATCTCAAATACTTTGGGAAATGTAAAATAAAAATGTACTACTCATATAAGTTGACAAGATTATGTTAATACAATTCATTCATTTGGAAATAAGGAAATATCATTATAACAAAATATTTTAAAATGTGAAAACATGTAAGAGGGAAATAAATAATAGTACATTATTCAATCCTTCAACCATATAATAAGCATGCATGAAGGAATTTCATTAAAATCTGAACTTGGTCAATACTTTGCAAAATTTGAGGTGAGCTATATCTGTATCATACTGTCATATTTAATATAACTCTGAATTCTCTTAAACTATATTTTTTTCATTCTTTTTACATGTGCAGAGTATGCGACACACAAGGCAAGTTTTTTGTTTTGTTTTGTTTTTAAAAAATGATATTTTGTTTCATTTTTATTAATGGTGAAACACCACACAAGGCAAGTTTTTTGTTTTGTTTTGTTTTGTTTTTAAAAAATGATATTTTGTTTCATTTTTATTAATGGTGAAACACTGTGCTTTGTTCAATGGTAAAAAATCAAGACTGCATTCTTTGATAAAAAATGTCCAGGCAATCATTTTCTGGCTCTGGACTTTAGGCACATGAGTATGTGCATTAAAATGTCCTATAAATAAACCAGAGCTGGGAGAAGTTAAATAAAATAATACATTTGAAGTTATGGATTTCTAGCCTTTATAGGAATTTCACATATTATATAAATTCTTGACCCTGCCAAATTCCTTTATGCAGAGTTTATAAAATATTCATGTCTCATGACATTAATGTGAGACTTCTCTGACCTTACCAAATCTTCCATACTGAAGCTGTGATTCTAGATGCATTATTGCCTATTTAACCCTTTCCTACTTCTCAGTAAGCTTTTGCTGAGCATTAGATTTCTGTGTTGTTCCAAACAATTGTTTAACTTCAAGTAGCTAAAAGAAATTATCTGTTACATTTGATATGGATAGAATGCTGAAGAGGCAGAGGGGGGCACCAGAAAAATATTTAAATGATATTGTTAAAAAGAGATATGCCTTCAACTGTTCTTTAAAAGGTCATGTGTGTGTATTTGTGTGTAAAAATCTAAGAAACTTTATATTGGACAATAAGGAAAATAAGCTCATGATTCAAAATAGCTCACATGTAATCTCCACATTCACTATTACTTTGTAATTCTATCTTTTACTTACAAAATCAAGACAGTATAGACAGCAACTCTATAAACCTCTTACTGGTAAAAATCCTCTATTATTTTTCTTCCCATTTGCCTATAGCAAGCAGAATTTCATGTACCAAAAAAGCGCCGTGAAGCTATAAATGAAGTGTAATCCATGATAATCAACAAAATATAAATGATTACTTAGTAAATTATTTCTTGTTTATTAAAATAAAAAAATTCAAGACCCCCCCCCAAACAGCTAAATGTTTAAATGATACGTTATTTAGTGAATTGAGAGTCTGTCCAAAAAGGTTTTCTGGGAAAAACAATTGATACAAATGTGAGTGCAAATCTGTCTCTTTGTAAATTTTAAAGCATATTGTTCAAAATTTTAACTTGTGTGCATGATATAAATTCCATACATTGTTTTCTCAGTGACAATAAAAAGCACAGTTTATTAAAAACTGAAGTAAAAATTAAAATAACTTTTAAAAAATTAGTCACAGTTTTGTCATTGGTATATGGAGGTTGTTCCAGGGGCCCATCCAAAGTTCTTCCTCATCCGACTGTGTGTGGTCACTATGGAACTCCAAAGCCTCCTTGTTCTTACTGTCAACCCCGGACTCTTGTTCACCTGTGCTTTTCAGCCTGTTCCCCAATGGCTTCACTGCTGTACTGTCACTCCCCACAAGGCAAGGGGCAAATGTAACCAGAGTAGGTCTTGTGTTCATTTTCTCAGTAGAAAATGGCCCCTTTGATAATGTGTTCAGGGGAACATTCTCCTCGTGTGTCACTGCCAACTTGTCAAGTTTCTTAAAGTGCCTCCCCAATCGGACAGGGGAAGTAACTTTTAAGTTATCGGTGAGGCAGGCACGGCGGGTTCTCACCACAGAACCATTCTGTGCAATATAAATATTGCCATTGATGTTACTGTGGACGTTAGGATTGTGAAGACGGGTTCGCTGGCATTCAGGAGCGCTGTCTTCTCCAGTCGAGCTAGTTTCGTACTCTCGATCAACAACTAACTTGATCATTCTTTTTCTTCCCCACTGGTAGAATAAAAAACAAACAGTATGTGAGTCATTATCAAAGGAATTGAAAAGGTAAAGATAACGATGCCTGTGAAATCCAAAACAATGACACTGAGAAAGTAAAGATTGTTTAAGAAAGGTAGAAGAAAACAAGTCTTTATTAACATTAGTTTCTTTTCACCAATCCTTCATAGGCTTTAGAGCCTAATAACATTTGAAAAGAAGAACTGCAGAGTTAAAGTAGATATTCCAGAAAGCACATGTATTCTTTTAGATAAAATTACTGCTCTACATAAGAAGAAAAGGAAATTATTTATATTTAACTAAGGATCTGATCCATTGTTTGACGGCTGCTATACTGTTCAGGAAAGATAAATTGAAAGGAACGGAATGCACTAGTATATTCTGTTAATATTAATGCCTCTATTGCCAATATTTTGAAGAGGTTTTAAAACCCATATGATTCTAAATTTCTAATTCATTCTCCATTGTGAGCCAAAATTTTTGTAAAGTTTAATGCATTTATTCACTTGAAGTATCCTGCTTTTCTGGGTCATCCCATTTAGACAAAAGTTAACTTAAAAGAAAGTAGTTCCCAACCTGCACAGATCATTTTGTAGTGCACAAAACTGAAAGATAATTATTCTAAACTTTCCTTTTGTAAGCAACTGAAACACAATGGACATTTTCACCAATTCACTTTTCTTTTACCAACTGACATTAGAAATGGCAAGGAGCAAAGGATAAACAATACTGTTTTTCTCAAAATAGTATTGCATTTTTACGATATGTGAACCATCAACATTTTGAACTGAGTAAGCCATGATTCTTAATATCCAGATATAAATTTCAAAAAAGTTGTGTTTATTTGCCCAGAAAATATTTTATAACTGTTACAATTTTTTTAAATCCACTTTAACTCATATCCACAACAGAAAATAAATGCTAACAACTTTTAATTTTTTAAATTTTATTTCATTTAACTCCTAATATTTGAAAGTGGGAGATACAATCCTATTTGTATATATTCATGATGTCTGTGATAATACCTTTGCCAGATGAAATGTACGTATATGCAAAAGTAGACTATTTAGTAGAGATTTCACTTGTTGCAGCTTGACTTAGTATTTATGGGAGATACAATCCTATTTGTATATATTCATGATGTCTGTGATAATACCTTTGCCAGATGAAATGTACATATATGCAAAAGTAGACTATTTAGTAGAGATTTCACTTGTTGCAGCTTGACTTAGTATTTATTTTATAAAGGTGGTAGTGGTTATATATATATATAACCATTATATATATATAATCTATTCCAATAAGCAGGGTATCACTACTAATGCATAATGTCACATTGTATTAACAAAAATCCTACCAGGCAATAAATATTGACTAGCTAATTGTGTATGTTCTGATTTACTAATCTAGGAGAGATCAGTCATTTTTACTCTAATACATTTTAATATACAAATCTATTTGGATAGCACATATATTCACTTGGTCAAGTCAGATCAAAATCTTGATCAATTTCCCCCCCTTCAAACGTCACTTCAGAGAACACACAGAAGGCACTGCACACAAGAGCACTCATCACTGCAAACCTCCCACCTACTGTGATCTCTTTTAAAGTGCTGTGTTGTAACCTTCAGAGTTTACTCCTGGAGACTTCCTTTGCTTTACATTCTTGCTTCTGTCATACTCTGGCACCTGGAAGCCCCATGGACCTCCAGACTGACTTTCACTACTGCTACTACTGCTGCTGCTGCTGCTGCTGCTGCTGCTGCTGCTGCTGCTGCTGCTGCTGCTGCTGCTGCTGCTGCTGGATTCTGATTCCTCCTCACTCTCCACTCCACCTTCCACTGAAGCTGATTCTGCACTGCCCTCCTCAGGGACGTCTTGAACTTCTAGGTCTCTGTGTTCTTCCACTGGCCCTGGTTCACCTGCCTGTCCTCCTTCTGGGTGCTCTTCTTCCACCTTAGGTTCTTCTTGTTTTTCAGGTGGCTCCTCTTTGCGACCTTTGACTTCCTTGATCTCCTCAACCATGGGCCTTCTTCTTGCAAACACAATGTCTTTCCTTGCTTTTTCTCCCTCTGACTCTGTGGATTCAGATTCTTCTGACTCAGGGGTCGAACTCTCCTCCTCCTCAGAAGGTGTCTCTGACTCGGATTCCTCTTCTGTAGTCTCAGACTCACTGAACTCGGACTCCTCTTCACTGTATTCAGTATAGTCGCTTGAGGACTCTGTCTCTGATTCTACGGTGCTCTCTGTGGCTTCATCTTGGTCCAGAGTTAGTTTCAAATAGTCTTTATCTTCTTCCTCCAGGCCTCTCTGCCACTCTTCCCCCTCAAGGTCAGGGATGCCTCTCTTATCAGCTAGTCCTCTAACTTTCTTAACAATCATTGGGAATATCCTGGCTCGCTTCCATGTTGTGTACGTAGGCTCAGTGGGTGGAGGTTTTTCAACAGTTACCACTACTTCTTCCTCCTCACTAGGCTCTCTAATTTCAACTTTTGGCTTTATAATTTTCTTTGGCTTTTCCTGAAAATTGTGAAAATGCAAATTGAAGTGTCAGCTTGGGGATAGTTATGGTCCGAGCTTGTCCCTCATTAGTCAAACTGAAATGAAACTGTAGGGTGACAGCTTTATGCAAGTCATATAACAATGACAAAATTCTCTACTGTAGATAGACACAGTGTGATTAAGAGACAGTAAATCATTTTATGTGGCTTGTACTTTACAAGACCAAGATTTTCCCTTTTTTTCTTATTCAACATTTATTTTCCATCTTAGAACAAAGAAAAAAATAATAATTGCCTCTTCCCTCTCCTATTCCAAGTCTTTGATTAATAAATTTATGTATTTATTGTAACGAAAGTATAAGAATTTTAAATACTTGTGAAAATATAGTAGTTTATGTGAAAGGTTATGTGAAATTTGAGTATTCTGTAAAGTTTTGAATGGGTTAAAGCTATAGTGACATTCATTTGTTGTTGATGCTATTTTTGGATAAATTTGCCAAGTAAATATTGCAGACAAAGTATAAAAATTTGATAGAGATGACTCATGCTTATGTAAACATAAATTACATTATCTCTTCAGAAATATTGCTGGAAATACTTTATTTTCCTCTGATAATTAAAAGATGAAGACTAATTTTTTTATGATTGTTAGGTATGCTAGATAATGTGGGAATAAAAGTAAATATTGTGTTGCAAAATATTTTTAATATATTTGATTATAATATCTATATGGAGCAACATTTAAAATTTTAGAAAACAAATTTTATTGTAGCTTTTTTCAGGTATTTAACATTTTATAGGAGGAAATAAATTAAAGTATTAAAAATTAATTTTCCTCAGTAGGCAAGGCAATGAAATGGCCAGGATTTTTAAATTTCTATGGAAAACACGTACTAAACGAATAGAATTTCTGAAAGTTGAAATGTACTAAAGCTTATGAGTCAAGTAGGGTTAAAAATATTCTTGGGAAATTATCTCACATAATAAATTATAGTAATTACCTTTTCCTCCTCATATTCCTCCTCAGCTTCACCAACCACCTCACCATATTCCTCTTGTCCAGCTGGTGGTAGCAATCGGCGGCGGCTTCCATATTGAGGCATTTCATACCTGTAATAAAAACTTACAGCTTTAAGCATATTATCATGTGGTCTGTGTAGCCTCTACAATGGATGATTTGTTTTCTTCTTTTCCTTCATCATTCAATAAACAGATATTTATATTGCACCTATTAGGCTCCTTGCAAATTAGTTACAAAACTACTACCCGATGACCAATGACTTTTGCCATAATGGTAGCCTGGAATAACAACAAAGAGACTTGAGTTATTTCAGATATCAGTTTTGGGAAAGACTAGAATGGGAAAGAAGCATTTTTTCCTTAATTAGTTGAAGAACCCAGGACTCAAAACAGATTCTTTCTAAAAGCATAACAGCTCATTCAGAACTTAAGTCTATATCTTTATAGTAAAAATTTGCTTCAAACATAGTCTGTAATGGTCTTTACATTTTTTGGCAGTATTTTTGAAGGCAGTTAACTTATGTATGTAGAAGTGACTTCTGAAGTACTTATTACTGGATTATAAAATATATTTTCTTCTTCATAATTGCTCTTGGGCAAAACGTTAGGCTGACTGATTAGATAAAATGTCAAACATCTCATGAAAGTAATGGTGAATTCAGGAATTGAGCAAATACATTTGACTTCTATTTTCCATTTAAATAATTTTGAATAATTTTATTACTTTTCTAGAAGTGCAATCAATGTCAGTAAAAAAACATCAGTGCAGAACTCAATATAGAAAAGTGGTTAAAACTTGATTAAAATTAAAGCTACATATATTACTCATTTTCAAATATAAAATTAACAAAAAGACATTTAAAAAACAATTGTTAATAATAATAATAATTTAGTAACTTCCTATTATTCATACAATATTACAGTAGGATTCTGAATAAAAAAATCTGAAGATGTACCCATGCTCATAACTGTAATAATCTTGTCCATATTCCTGGCCAGGATCAATTCCAGACTCCATGGATAACTCCTATTGTTCAAAAAAAGAAACTGCATTTGAAAACAAATTCTTATTACATTTCTGCTTAAAATCAGATTTCCACACCTAGAAATTGGTGACTCTCAAAACACTCCTGCCAAAATAACTTTAATTACAAGTGTTAAATAAACATATTCAAACATATTTTTTTTCTGGCTGTAACTATTTTATGCAAAATAAGATTATGTTATTAGACCTGAAGTGGGAAAAAGTAAATTTTCCTAATGGTAAATCTGTTAAAAACTACAAATGAGCATTTTTACTTACTCTTAGATGGCTTTTAAAATTATCAATAGATAGTTAATCTTTAACTCTTTTTTAACTTATATTATTAATTAACTTTTATCATTAAAGAAAATTACATTATCTTTGGCACTTTTTCATCTTCTCACTAACAGTTTTTTAATACCCAGCATACTTCTACTCATTAAAACTGTTCTTATAAAATCATCTGATAACAGTACTTTATACATTGAGGAGAATTTAAGTTAATGCGTGATATCTCCCAATGATATTTACATTTTAAAACTTACTGCTAATTCTGGATTTAAGAGCTTTTTTTTTTCTTTGTTAAAAGAAGGATTTGTTAGAGTAGAGACCCTTTCAAGATATCCAGTTTCAAACTCTAGGAAACACTGATTTTTGTTAAACTCTATTTTTGTAGAATATTGTTTTTCCTGAGATACACATATGAAAACAGTATTAAATAACTATTTAATGCAATTTCTTTATATGTCCATTTTTAAATTTTTTGTAACAGGTTAATCAGGTTAAATGGAAAAGGTTAACCAAATTAATTTTGCAATAAAGTAAGAGAAGAAAAGGAGGAAAAAGTACAGGTACCCAAGGAAAAAGGGTCAGTCCTTATTTCTAAGATCATCTATTAATTATGAGAATTAATTTTGTTGCTCTAGGTACAGTTATGAGTCAAAGAAAGAACACTCTTCTCTGACAGCACAAACATATTATTTTAAAAGTGTGTAAATTCACAGCCTGCATGACAAATATGGGTAATGACCCTCAGTTGTGCTTGGTTTGGTCAACATCATTTTAAAAATTGAATTAGTTGCCAACAATTCTAATCATAAAATGCCATCAAAAACAGAGATTTTTGGCTTCTCTTGAAAAATAAAAAGATGGCAAAACTAGGATCATATTTTTACATATCGAGAGTCTAGTCAGTGGTACTGGTCCTTACAGCAGGCAGGTTCTCTCCTGGTTGCTACAGTGTCTCCAACCATGCTGTTCTCCATCTATAGCCGTAGTTGCCATTGAATCTGTCATCCACTATTGCTTGCCATCTAATAAACTCCATTCATTACATTACTTCCCTGGATCCTGTAGTTATCTAAATTTGCAATCCCTCTGATATACTTATATACTATCTGATGGCTTTGCATTTACAAATACTTTATGAACCAATCTCAAAAGAATCCAATTTTGATGTTAAAGTTCATTTAGTTTACCCACCAGAATGACTTAGAAAAAAAAACAAAAACAAAAAAAAGAATCAGCAATTCCATGTGTTAGCAGGGCTATGGAGCAACTGGAACTCTCACACACTTCTGAAGAGATTATAAACTAGTAAAACACTTCGGAAAATTTTCAGGAATAGTAGTCAAGTTAAATATATGCAAACCCTCTTTCACAGAAATTCAATTTACAGTTGAACACCCAACAGAAAGATGTACATCTGTGCACCAAACACGTTATTCTTAACAGCCAAATAGTGTGATCCAGTGCTAAAGTCCATGAGATAAACACACTACTAGATGAATCTCCTAAACAGAATGAAGAGCAAAAGAGATCAGACACAAATGAAACATACTATGTTATTCTCTTTATCTAAACTTCAAAACTAGACTAATTAATATGTGTCTTGCAAGCTAGGTGAGTGGTTGGGGGAAGGAGAACCAATATCTGGGTGTCGACATGGAAGGCCTTTTGGAGAGCTGATAGGGTATGTGCACTTTGTAAAATTCATTTACCTCTTCGGTATAATTTGTACATTTTTTTATTGCAGTAGGTTGTATTTTGACAAAGAAAAATGTTTATTACAGGAAGATTGAGGGTGGGGATGGAATAAGTTAAGGGAGACCAATAAGAAATCGGGACAAAGTTAAAGTCTAGATTTCAGTTACTCAAACTAAATACTTTGAAAAAACATACATGCTTCATGTCAGTAAGCTTAGATCTTTGAGACATCGAAAACCCAACATAATGATACTGGTTTAAATAAAGCAAAGAAGTCTCAGAACTAAAACTCTTAAACCGCTTACCAATGCATGTTTTATCTAATATATGCAGAGACTGAGAAAAGAATTTCAAATGGTTTTGAAGTGGAATTTTAATAACTTTTGGTAACAGTAAATACAGAAAATAACATATTTAAGTAAGTATTTATAGAGACATAACACAATTGAATGAATTTCAGATTTTAAAAGTCAGAATTAAAGAATTTTCTTTACACTTAAGTACATTTTTCCCCCTAAATATAGAATAAGGTTCAGCGTTTGCTGGCTACAGTATATATATCTGGCATCAATTACTTTAAAAATATAATAGAAGGATAGATGGGACTGGGACAGGAACCCAAGCAAATTAGCAAGATAGTCCTTGAGTCAGTCAGTCCACTCTGTAGTTCTGAGTTGGTTAAGGAGGGACAGGAACTAGCATAAGGGAATAATCTGAAGGGTGCCTCTTGGATGGGTATATCAGTCATGAAAGAAGAATGAAGTATCATCCCATGGGAAAAAAAAATCAAGGAAGGACCTGATGACCAGTAAGATCCCTGAGTCGGCTTAAAACAGACAATGGAATGCTGGCTCTTTTTATTGTTCCACACATTTCCTGTTGATACTTCCTTACCTAGTGAATCCTAGTTTTAGAAAACCATGCAAAGTGGCATAATAAAAAGTGATGTTATGGGTAGATCAAACATTTAATGTTATTTTTAAAATTCATTTTTGCTGACCTCACAGAGAAGGCATAGAGATAATTAACTTGGCATTTTGTTACTTTAAAAATTTATACTGATGCAAACAAAAACAACAATATTAACTTTCATTTACCAAATTTCTTCCTGCTACATTCCAGATGCTGAGATAGGAGCTAATATGTTAGATATTACTGCCAACATTTTATAGAAGAAATTGATGTTAAGAAGGACAATATCTTGACTAAGGTCTTGCATCGAATAATTGGAATTTGGATTTTAACTCTGAATTTTCTGATTTAATAGTCTATGGAGCCCTCTCCATGAAAAATTTTGCTAAAAACCTAAAGTTGAATATTCCAACTCCCAATCTCCATATTTTGGGGAGTAAATTCTAACCAAGAAAAGTTTCTCTTTAGCCAAGTTATGATTCTGTTCTTAAAGAAAAGGAATAATTTTTTTTATAAGTGGAGCTTATAAAATACCAAATTTATTGAAGAAGAGAAATATTTAAAACTAGCATTACTTAATTTACAATTTCAGCAGTATGTAAATATGACAAGTAAAAATAATATGCATTATATAACTCTGAATATCTTTTTCACATTGCAGAAGAAAATGTTATAGGCAATTTGAAATAGACGTGCTCAAAGACAATATTTTGAATCACGTGAAATGATATTTCAATACAGATATTGGCATTTTTCTTTAAACTTTATCTAATCTATCTGATCTCAGGAATAGATCTCACAAATCCAAATTCACTAAGGCAATTGACTACTGATCAGGTTTATTGTCTTTCATTCAATGGCAGCTTATTTTTAATAGCAGCCAAGGCCTTATCTGTCTAATTTGAAGAGAATGAAGCTAAAAATTTAGAATTTGGGCCACCTGCAAGCAGTGGAAAGGTGTTTATTTACTTCATTCATTTTAACCTAAAAGCACCTTCTGTCTTTCGTAAAATTATGCCACAATGGCAGCCACCCACTCTGCCTATATGTAAGATGAACCACATAACTGTATTGTGAAGACTCAGTGATGTTGAAAAGAAAAAGAAAATTGATACCTCTGGTTTAAGAAGAGAAGGCCTCAGCAGTTGTTGTTGCTGCCAAAGGAAAT